TATCACTACAGAAGTAGATTGCCCAAGCTTCCTTTCAAGGAGTAGCTGGTGGGTTTGAACCGCCAGCCTTCTGGTTAGCAGTCACATGCCTTACACACTACACCACCAGAGCTCCTGCTCCTCTCCATAGTCCTGCCAATAATGTTGCTGTCCAAAATTCTGCCACTGCCGTTCCTCCTGAAAATTTCCTGATGATTGGATTATTTGATTGTATGAAACAAGTGTGTGGTCCATGTTCATGATGGTAATTACTGAAGCCTTTTGAACTGATTTGAAGCTCTCCTCCCAGCTGTTTTTTCTTGGTAGTAGTGAGGTTCTTTCCCTGCTCTGGGATTGGTTTTCTTTTTAAACCTACTGGGATAGCAAAATTGACCAATCCTCTCAATTGGGGTCCATATGCCTTATTTACATGGTTCCACTTCCACAGTGGTGCCATACACCTTATTTGCATTGCTAGCAAGCTGTCCAGTCCCCATGGTAGGCTACAGTACCTTATTTGTATAGTCCCACCCAGTCATTTTGCAGGAGTTACAAGACCATGGCGAGAAAGGCCATAGAAAAGTAAATTCATTCCATCACACCCTATTTTATTGTGTTAAAAACCTAGAATTTGTAGACACTTTAATATCCCCAATCATTTTAGGGATTTCTTTTTATTTCTTTTATAAATCTGAAGAGTGATAAAGGTATTTTGTTTTGTTCTGTTTTATATATGGGAAAATGAATTCTAAGTGCTGAAATAATTGATTGGGTTATGGTTAATTGCTTTTCCCCAATCTTCAGAGTTCTCAAGGCAATTCTTTCAAGAAAAGAAGCTATTTCAAATATGATTGATAATTACCATAATTAAATATAATGCCTGTTATAGGAATCAGTAAGATTGGATAACTCAGCTTATTATTGGGAATAGGCACTTGAGATTCTTAATGCCTAATTCTGTAAAACTGTTAAGTTAGATACTTTGGAAATGATGCCATGATCAATGTTTTTAAGAGTTGAAAATTTTTATTGAAGAGTGCCTCTTCAGAGAATGTAAGAAAACTTTTTTTGAAGAAATTTCTTTAAATGTATCCAAATCCTTTGTGAACCTTGTGGTTACTGGATGCTGTCTTAGTTTCTTAATGCTGCTATAACAGAAGTACCAGAAGTAGGTGGCTTTCATGAACAGAAATTAATTTTCTCACTGTTAGGCTAATAAGTGTTGAGTTCAAGGCACTGACTCTAGGCAAAGGCTCTTCTGTAGGCTTTGGGGGAAGGTCCTTGTTTCTTCAACTTCCGTTC